CATAGCTGAAAGATGAAGCATAAGGCTAAAACGACATTGTTTTTGTCTAAATTTAATTATTTATCCTAAATTTTATTTAAATTAGACTAACAACTAAGCTGAATTATAAAAAATAAAAACCAAATAAGGATTTGATTGCACTTTTCGAAAATTTAGGATTCAATTGTACTTTCCCAATTTTATTTCCCAACTTTGGCATTTCCTCGTCATGCTCATCTTCAAACGAAGTGTTATCGACGTTAAAACAAATAACCATTTGACCTTTTTTATTTTCTTTTTCATTGTCGAGTTCTACTACATAAGCCATCGTTATTCCAGCAAGTTCATACAGAGCCATTGGCTAAATCCCTATGGTTTATTTTTCATTGTGCCCAGGGATGAAAGCCCATTCATAATGTCGGCGAAGCGAGGGTGATTTAGGCTTCCTCCCGGCTTCGTCTTGAACGATTCATATTGCTCTACAATGTGTTCATCTCCGTTTCTCATGCACGATCCGTTCCTTCATACGTGAGCTCGAATCGATCCCGAATCTCCTGAACCGTGACACAAGACGAGACGCTATCGGACCGAGCAGGAAATAAGGCAACACGTAAATTGAATAGCTTCGCCATTTAACGTAAGTCGTCTCGTTTGCTCTTCTTATGAAATCTCTTGGCGTGTTCGAAGAACCGATATCATCACGGTGGGAAGTGGAATTTAACACCTCGACAATATGGTGCCACAAGTATCATGGATACAGTACCCATTTCCTTAGTTAGATTTATGTCACTTTCCAAGCGAAAGGACAAAGCCAGTATAATATCGTGCTTGGAAATTAACTTAGCTTTTTCATCCATACGTTTCAGTCTCATCATCAGAACATGGCGCAACATGTCTAATCTCCATGCCTCTGCCAACTACTACGCATCCCTCGGTCTCTCAAGTTTGTCGACTCATTCCTGTTCCTACATGTGTTGCTGGCCTCGTTTGTGCCCCTTCGATTGCATCTGTCCCGGTCGATACCTCATCGAAAGCACCATTTGATCCCTTCAAAAATTTTAGCCAATGCTCGAGTGTCGTTGCCAGCCAAAGTTGTCCCTTTGCAGATTTTTCCATTCTCGGATAAAATGATTGCGGTTTCTGATGTTGGCGTTGACGAGTTCCCCACTCGAAAGCCCACGAACAGAATTCAAAAAAGGGTGACGGAGATGTACGGCCTCGGAATACCCTTATCTTAATGTAACGCGACGATTCGTGTTTACTTATTCTAGTTACATTCAGGGTTAATATCACGAAAAATTTCAGGCTGATACACTTACGACAAATTTGCTCAAAAGTAATTTTTTCACCACAAAAAACCCCCAAACCGATATACCAGTGACAAATTTACCTTTCATTAGTTTTCGTTAAATTTTACTGTTAAATTGTTGAGTTGGATGTTATGTGGCAGTTGACGGGTGCACCGGTTTGGGGTTTTATCCTCCGTTTGTCATGGGTGTACCGGTTTGTGATTTTTCATGGTATTAATTCAATTTATCGGAAACTAACAAATGATAAATTTATCATAAATGTACCAGTTTAGAGTTTCGTGGTAAAAAAATTAGTTTTGGGTAAATTTGTCCAAGGTATACTAGTTTGGAGTGGTCAAAATATTAGTTTGGAGTAAATTTATTACATGTGTATCAGTTTGGGGTTTTTCGTGGTAGTAACCCTTACATTTATTCTACTCTTTGGATGATCAATACAGTAGTAGCTTGCTATGAATGTTGATTATCACTCGTTACGTAGGAAGTTGAAATGTTTGATCGATAGACCAAGTGATCGGAAACGATCAAATTTTCATTGCGAAAGCCGAAAGTTTACCCATGAAAAGCATAGAACCCTTTCATTTTCAAAGGTGGGGGCGACCATTGGCAAAATCCAATTCGTCACACACGTGCGCTTCCATGTCCCCATGAATCAAATACTTATAGTTAGATATATATATATATATATATATATATATATATATATATATCTATCATAAAAAGGGTGTATTTCAATTTCAATACCAATCAAATCGGTATTTTGTTTTATTTTTATTTGATTTTTATAAGAGCGTTCGGACATAACGTGCTGAGACTTTCTCTTAGACCCCGTTTGTTTCGTAGAAAATAAATTATTTAGAAAAATATTTTTCTAAAAATGATCTCTTATATCACTCGAAATAATTAGTCAATGTGAAATATTTTAATTATCGACAACTACTTTATGTCTAAAAATTTTCATACACTATAAGAATACTTTTTGTTCATTCATTTTTGCAGGTGACACGAACAATCATTTTTTAGAAATATTGTTCAAATTACTCATTTTTCGCGAAATAGACGTGCCCTTATATTCACTTTTGTTTTCATCTGTATTTGAGTTAATTATAGGTATACAAGATTGCTAGGAGACAATTTAGCAGATACTGCCCGGGTTGTCACCCCAAAGCAATCGGGCACTCTCCGATATTTATGGCACTATATAAAAAGGATAATTCTATTGATTGGGGTGGGGGGAACTCTTGTGGTGGCATTGCCCTAGCGGTCCATCTCGAACGAATTGGGAACATTCATTTATCTTAAAAAAAAAAATGAGAAGAAAATAAAAATAAAGAGGGAATAAAACCAAACGAGTCACAATCCTCAGACACTGGTGGGAGGGACCCAATTGAAAAGTTAATGGCCTTTTGCAATGATGAGAAGTACCAAAAATGTAGAAAGTGGCATTTCTTGGGTCAAAGGAACTTTATGCATGTGCACCAATCTTGCCGGGCTACACCGCCTGGGAGCACTGTGTTGACTGGGAGTCCTTTTGTGCGGTGGGAAATGAAAGGTGATTTTGGTTTTCTAGATGCGGTTATAATGTTTGGGTGAATTTCCACTTTCATCTCTGAAATAGATTTTTTTTTTCTCTGTTTCAGTCCCTCGCGGTTGATTTCGGTATAAGATTTGTCCCCCGACATTCGGGCACGCTTTCATTTTGACCCCTGGCAAGTGAAAACAGAGGGGGAAGAAGAAGTCTATCAAGCCCATCACATTTTGCCCCCCTGAAGAATAACATATTGTATTGAGAGAATCTACCGTTACAATGCAACCGACGTCTCTCTTTCCACCTGGGTACAAGGAATAGTGAGGGGCATGAGGCACGGTGACAGAACCAGAACAGTTCGTTTGCAATAGCCATCAACCTGGTACATGATGGATGACTCGGATATCCTTCATGACCTGTCCCTTTAAAATACCCCAAGAACTGCATCTATGGATGCCACTTCAATGTCATAACTAGAGGGAAACCAGGGACCTAGTGAGCAATTTCTCAGGGAAATATCGGCTTTGGGTATGGAGTGTTTTGATTGATTGCAGAGTCGGCCCTTCAGATTTAACCCTGTTCTGCACAATTTACCAACATCACCAACTCAAAGGCAAGCAGGTAATGCAGACATGATTTAGGTGTGGGACGATGCCCGGTTGAACCCTTCCTTAACCCGGCTCTAGCAGACTGGAACTGTTTTCCGAGATCAATGGCATGCAAAAGTATACTATTTTGGCACCAGAGGGTCCATTTTCTAGTGGAGAAACCTGTTTTAAGAGATGATCAGTGTAAACAACCACTGTTCTCCTCCAAGCAAGCTTTAGCAAGCCTCCTAAGAGATCTCTCTTTGATCCACCTAAATGAATACAGAGAAGAAACCAGCAAGCTGCCGGTGTTCGAACTTGGATTATAATGTGTTTTTTTTTTTTACCGTATGCTCAATATGAATGCAAATGATAAAGTTAGCACTAATATTAGCAGCCCTAATCACGCTAATTCAACCCAAAAAACTAAAAATAAAACTATATAGCCTCCACAAAATCGTGCCAGACAACCCATTTGAAGTTTGAAGATTACCAGAGCAACCCAATAAAAACATTCAATAGTCCAAGAGAATTAGTTACTGGTGAAAGAATAGTGGACTATACTACCCGTCATAAAAGCATTGAAAAGCAATTTTCCTGGAGCCATCTCATGCGTTTGACTGACATGAGATTGCATCATCTTACTGAAGATCACGAGTCATTAAAGAACTGGAGGAAAAGGTTCGGCATAAAACAGAACATCTTTCATTTTCTCTGTAGAGCATCTAACAGGATCAAAGAAAACATAGCCCTATCAGATATTATCAGACGAAAACTTTACATTTATGTCTTCAATCGTCATGTGTTCTCATCATAAGCAAAAAGAGACAAGCATGCACCCAGGTTGAAGCAGGTACGACCAGTTCACAACATAAACTCGAGTATAACTGTATACGCAACACGAGTACGGGAGGGAGGGAAAACAGGTGGTTGATGACAACAAGGTTGTCAATCGTGCAAAGAACCAATGAACAATTGTAAAATTAAGCATGAATGCAACGGTAACATCCGAAGAATGACCCATACTATGCCAAAAAGGATGAAATCACAGTTGTAGTATTATGGTCACTTATAACAATTAAGATGATACGATCAAGGAACAGTCAAGTTACACCATTAAAAAGAAACAAAATTCTCCAGAACTAACAAAGCGCATGGATCCTTATACTTAAAAGAAACTTATAGTCCTGATCCAACAGCATCACATGAGATCAACTAACATCACATTGGATAGGCAGCAGCAACTGTAAACCCTTTGCCTAATTATACTTAGAAAGGAAATCGCATGTATCTACTCAACACAGTACCCTCTACTTACCTGAACTGAGTGCACACTTCTATAGTTTTCTTTAATAAATAGAGCAGCTGGTATGTGCATCGCTGGTGCTGTTGTGTTTAACTCGTTTCATTATTCTGCAGCAGTTTTAGTATCAATCTGTGAAACATTTCCATTAGCACCTTCTTACCAAAGCAGTTTCCTGCAGCAAGTTCCCAGCATCCTCCTTATGAGTAACAGTGCTTCCATTTAAAATCTTCCTTCAGCAGAGGGCTATCAAATTGGCCCTTCACCATCTTACAGAGACTATGGCCTTTTGGAGAGAAACAAATGCTCAAATGTTTTATAGCTATCAATGTGGAATACACAGTTTCAGGTGATGAAGAAAATATACACACGCAAGACTTAAGATGCTCCTCTACCCACAGCCAGCTTTGCTGGTATAACAAGACATTTTACAAAGAGGCAGTGTACAACTAAGATACAAATTGAATATAAATTCCTTCCAGAGCTCACTCCATCTTATAAAAATTATCACGTGCTATTGAGTGCTTCACTTTGAATCTGAGTTAAGATGGGATGAGGATGCCTTTTCTAAATTTCTTCCTGAAGTAACAGGCGAAACTCCAGAAGTTTGGCGAGACGAAGATGATGGAGGAGGAACTGAAGCTGCGAATGTCGAGAGTGCGCTTATATTACTACTGACATTGATGCTGCTTCCGCTATGGGACCCATCAACTGCTGCCTTCGGAGGAGGTGGCCTCTCAATCTCCGTAATCCCATCAAGCATCTGCAGAATTTTCCCCATAGTCGGCCTATGCGATGGTTGTTCCTGGATGCACCAGAAACAGATCTGGATTGCCCTCATTACTTGCTCCATGTTTAAATCTTGATCAGCACCAAACAGCCTCTTGTCTATAATGTTCTCAGCATTGCTCTTCTCAAACTCCTCATAAGCCCACATGGAGAATTTCTTATTGTTGGTTTCGACGGAAACATCAAAATTCCTTCTCCCACTCACTATTTCCAACAAGACCATCCCATAACTGTAGATGTCTGATTTGGAAGTTATCGGGAGATTCGCCAGCCACTCAGGTGCCAAATAACCTCTCGTGCCTCTCAAGCTCGTCAAGGTGCGGTACCGGTGATCCTTGGCGTTTATGAGCTTTGCGAGGCCGAAATCAGACACTTTGGCGTTGTAATTTTCATCCAAAAGAATATTCTCGGGTTTTATGTCACAATGAACAATGCAGTCTCGACATTCTTCGTGGAGATAGGTGATTCCCCTTGCAGTCCCCAGGGCGATTTTAAACCGTTGCTCCCAATTCAACAACTTCCCTGAATTTTCTTCACTAGTAAAGAGGAAATCATCCAGAGAACCATTTTTCATGAACTCATAGACTAAGAGCCTGTGACGTCCCTCCGAGCAAAAGCCGATCAACCGCACCAAATTCAAATGGTGCGTGCTACTTATGGTTGCCACCTCCATCCTGAATTGCTTCTCCCCTTGTTCAATTCCCTCTAGCTGCTTAACCGCAACGACCGTTCTATTAGTAAGGACTCCTCTATAAACAGCCCCAAATCCTCCGGCACCCAGTTTCTCCTTGAACCCTTTAGTTGCTCCTTGAAGCTCTTTGTACGTGAACTGGACTGGTGCCCCGGAGGCATACTCAAGGAGTGTATAATGAGATGACAATGCACCAAACTTCGTACTATTTCTAAAACACGACCACCACAGACCACCTTCTAAGAGGATTAAACCAAGAACTGTAGCCAAAACCACAACCACTACCACCCAAGCATGTAGTCTCCATCCCTTGTTTTTGCCGGTTCCCTCCAGAGATGATGGGTTCGGAACTACTGGGCCACAAACTTTGACGTATGATGTGCTCGGCAATGCCGGATTCTCATAACCACTGACAAAATTCACAGATTTCAAGTAACACAGCCCTGTCCCATCGGATAATGAAGTTGAAGCCATACAAGAACCACTCACAAGACAATTCAACCTACATGCCGATATACCCACAAAGAAAACTTGTGAGGACAGCTCAGGCGGGTAGGTCAAGAACGAAGCATGATCCAGTTCCAACATAGTCGCACTCCCCGGACAATCCTCTATGTTTACTTTCCTCTTACAACCTTTTCTGCTATCGTTCGGATCGATTGGCTCGAAATTCTGGCTCGGGCACCTGCACATTGGGGTCGAGTCGTTGTAACTGCAAATACCCAGATTCCCACAGAACCCAAAGACCTCGCACTGATCAACAGCTGCCCACCTCAAGTTCTTACTCCCACTATTCCTCGCTGAGCTAAAAATCTTCAAATTCCCATCAGGATCCAACCTCAGAAACCTTAAAATGTCGCTCCCTTCCGCGTAATCACTACTGTAAGCAATGATTGCATAACTACTCAAAGAAGGGTCAGATATGTACAGAATACCTGTAGACTGCAAACCCAGGGTGGGAGCAGTCAGATTCCCCTGGATCGACGAATTCACCCCTTGATTCCAATACTCAATACTAGTATTCCACCGAAGGGTCAAATTACCAGAGCTCAAAAGATTAAAGGAGTACCGCCCACTTCGCAGCGTCTGACCGACTGTGAAATTCTGCGAGGGTACGATCGTGTCGGTCGGGTGATCGAACGACGACCAGACCGAAGACGTGCCGTTCCGGAGCACCAAGTTGCCGGTGTCATCAAGATTTGCTGAGGTCACTCCCCTGCCGGTCGTGTTGGACTCCCAGACGGTGGCGCCCGACCCATTGACGAGCCGGAGGTTGCCGGTGGAGAGGAACTGGAGGGCGCCGGAGGAGTCGACGGCGGAGCCGCCGGCGGACCAGACGACGACGGTGGGGCCGCCGGCGTAGGTGATGGCGGCGAGGAAGGAGGAGGGGTCGGTGGCGGCGGCGACGAAGCCGAGGGAGAAGGCCTGGTTCGGGGAGGACCAGGACTGGTTGACGCGGGAGGCGTAGAGGGTCGAGCCAGGGGAGACTTGAGCAGAGACCGGCGAGCAGAGGAAGAGGAGCGGGAGGAAGAGGAGGAGGGGGAGGAGGAGGAGAGACTGGGCTGCGATGGCGGAGGAGACCATTTGCCGCGATTCGCTGCTCATCGGTCGGGACGACGGAGGAGCGTGCAAGCGGCCCTTTTCGGCGGAGCGTTCGTGGCGGGCGGGGAGAGTGGGAGCTCGTGGTGGAAGTGGACGGCGGTGGGTGGTGGTCGTGTCTGTTCTCGTGCTCCTGGTGTGGAAGGAAGTAAGACATCGGACGAGGAAGATGAGCAGCGGAAGAGGAATTGGTCCAACTTTGTTCGCTGTTTGGTCAGAGTCGCGGCTGACGCGGCTGTCACGGCACGAGAAAAGTCCACCGGCGCGTCTTTCGTACGTTTCTGATTAATATGACGAAATATCTCATATTGACATTTGGGTTAATTAAAAAAAAAAGCACAAACTTTATGTCGAGGGACAATTTTGACCCGAACTTTTTTTTGTTCGATAAAAAAGCATCAACTTTAGATCGAGGGACAATTATGGCCCGAACTTTTTTTTGTCCCGTAAAAAAGTACCAACTTTATGTCAATGGACAATTCTGGCCCGAACTTTTTTTTGTCTCGTAAAAAAGCACAAACTTTCACTTAAATCCCAAATCTGGCTCTTATCGACTTAAAATCATTGATTTTCCAACTTGATTATTCCACCGTAGCAATAAATTCACGTGACTTGCTGATTGGATTTAAAGCATTATTCATTGTCTTATTCTCTGAACCACAGCTTGAAGAATAACGGTGAAATTGTTCGTCTCCTTCACTTCACCGGCAAATCAAAAATATCTCCAGATTGAATCTTTCTGGCCAAACTTCGTCATTTTATCGTAATCTGAAGTTGTAGACCACCGTCCATCGACAAACGCCATGGAAGAGATTCGCCAGGCTCACCACCATAACTTTTTTTCTCAAACAATGGTAACTTCAGGCAGAAAGTCAATGGGGGGCCAAATTTGGGATTTAAATGAAACTTGGTGTTTTTTTACGGGACAAAAAAAAGTTCGGGCCAGAATTGTCGCTCGACCTAAAGTTGGTGCTTTTTTATGGGACAAAAAAAAATTCGGGCCAGAATTGTCCCTCGATCTAAAGTTCGTGCTTTTTTTTGGAATTAACCCATTGACATTTATGACCAACTTATCTTTAGATATAAATCGATAAAAAAATTATTTTTTATTAATATAAACGATTAATTTTAGCTATTGATTAGAATTTTTTGTAAAACAAATAGACGTTGGAAGGTAATTTGCTTGTTTTCAATCAAAAACAATTTTCAATAAATTGCGCATCCCAAAAGGGACAGAAAAATCGAGGGTAAAAAAAAAAAAAACAAAAAATCGAGAATTATATAGTTTCTTTCTCATATCTTCCCCGAAACCGCGAGACTCCGACCTGCAAAAAGCCAAATCCTTTTCCCAATTCGACCGGCGCCCAAGTTCTCACAGATCCAAGCTTCGCTTCGACTTGACCGGGAAGATTCAACGTCGCCCCTCGAAGACCGCCATTGCCGTTCGGGTTCCGCTTCGGAGCCACGCTCGGATTTCATGGTAATCTTCTCTCTGAATTTTCCCCCTTCTCTATTCTTCCGGCGACGGCCGGCCGGCCGGCCGGTCGTTTCGGTTGCGATTCCGGCGTCGTGATCGAGCTTCGCGTCGCTGTGCAGCCCTCGCGGGATTGATCGGCGAAGATGATGGCGGAAGATCTGGGCGTGGAGGCCAAGGAGGCCTCGGTCCGCGAGGTCGCCAAGCTGCTGCCGCTTCCCGAGCTCTTGCAGTCCATCGCCTCGATCAAAGCCGATTACATCGCGAGACAACAGGTGATCCGCGGAACTCGAATTTCCGAATTCTGAACTGCTCGTTCGATTTGGGCGGGTGATTTCGTCCCTTTTGAAATCCTTTAGTGTTTACGAGAGCGAGTTGGTTGCGTTGTTTCGCTAAATAACGTTGCTGTCTTCCACATTGCTAGGCAAATGATGCACAGCTCAGTACGATGGTTGCCGAGCAGGTACATTTCTCATATACGTGATCTGCTTTCACTTTGGTTGCCTCATGTTGTTTTCTGTTGTCATTTGGGGTCATAATGGGGTCTGTGGTGTAGTTGAGCATATGCTGATTATGCTCCACCCGCTGATCACAGGTTGAGCAGGCACAGACTGGGCTCGAGTCCCTTTCTTCATCTCAGAAGACTATTAACCAGCTGAGGGAGAACTTCGTTTCTATTGAACAGTATGGAGTCTCTTTTTTGCAGATAGAACAGATTGTCTATTACCATATTTGGAATACAAATAGAGCAGAGATTTGGCGGTTTTCCTGGTGTCCGTTATCGGCTAGTTCGTACTTTTTTCAGTGTATCTTTAGCTTCATGCCTTTGGTTGTTGGGCTCTTGTATCAGGTTATGTCAAGAATGTCAAACATTGATTGAGAATCACGATCAAATAAAGATTCTGAGCAATACCAGGAACAACTTAAATACAACCCTGAAGGTCAGTCCTTTTCTTGGCATTATAACGAGCAGATTGTCAATCGTTGTCATTTGTGGACTCAGGCAGCCACCTTGTTGATTCTTTTTCCTTTCCCAGACTCCAAGGTCTAATGAGAGTGAAGTCACGAAAGCCAAAAGACTTTCTTCTTCCTTTGCTTTACCTATTAAAAGACTGAGTTTAACCTTTGTCACAACTATTAGATTGTGCCTTCATCCAACATTTTTTGCTTTTGGAGCATGTGGCAGTGGCCTCACAAATTTTTTTAGGTATTAGAGTAAGAGGTCTCAAGTTCAACATTCCGGGCTTTTTGTTTGCCTCCCTAATTGTATATTTCCACGCTTTAGTCTCCTGCCAAATTCCAGCCTATGCATGGAGTGTTGCAACAGTTAAACACTAAATCACGCATCCATCTAGCAACCTGTGCTTTTATATCGGTTGGTTGTGGTTTCGCAAAATTTTTACTACCTCATATTCCTACTTGCCATCTCAGTGATGGATGTAATTAGTTTAAATAATCTTTTTTTTAGAAGGCTGTTGTCCAATAGCGTGTGTGCTTGAGCTACTCCTATAATAGCTTTACTACGGAAAGCTTATTTTCTCTATAAATAAATATATATTGCTGCTACATAACCTGTAGGTGAGATTGGATAGCACTAAAGGTCATTAAATATCCATTTAGAATACAAGGATGGCTACTGTACTAGAACCAAAATGTCGTCAATCGTTATCAATCTGCATTTTTTGGTGTCTTTGGACCTTTGTCCATCCCTTCAATAGTTATTGGCTAACTGACGGACTTGTTGGTCTAATGCAGGATATAGAGGGCATGATGTCCATTTCTGTTGAAGCAGCTGAGGCCCGGGATTCTTTGAGTGATGATAAAGAGCTGATTAACACTTATGAAGTTAGTGTTTTTCAATAAGTTTCAAGTGCAATGACTTGATTTTATGTGGAAATGTACTTACTTGCTCATTTAAACTTTCAAGAGGTTAACTGCTTTAGATGGGAAGCGAAGGTTCGCGTTGGCTGCGGCAGCATCACATAGAGATGAGGTTGGCAGACTGAGGTTGTCTTTCATTCTCTTGTTCATCATGGATATTTAACATAAATATAGGAAATAATAGTCAAAAGCTACAACTTCAGATGTCTTTTCTGGTCTGGAATTTTTTTTTTCAATGATCATTTCTATTGGGGATGAGGATCAAGTACTTCAATCTTAGTTATCATTCCATTTCAGTTTGCAAAAAAAGAAAGAAGCTCTAGTTGCCCATATAGTCAGATATTGAAATAAGGAAGCTGCTTGCTTTTTGTTAAATGTTGACATAGGCATTTCAAAGCAATCAATTTAAGAAGTTGATGAACTCTATGTTATTCAATTCTGCCACACTCTTGATGATTGCTATTACGTTAAGGGTTCTCTAAGTTATGCTGATCACAAGAAAATTTTTGTAAGTTGTGTTTGGTCCTTGAGATAAGGATCGACTCTCTTCCTCTTATCTATTGCTCGTTAGATGGGAAACTTGTAATCATAAATAGTTTTGGCATGCAACTCTTTTATTTGTCAGTTGAATGACTTTCTTATGATGCAATGATTTTTCTGATTTCCTCTTTTAATACCAGAGAATATTTTGAAGATGTAGATCGCACATGGGAGACATTTGAGAAGACATTATGGGACCATATTTCTAACTTTTATAAACTTTCAAAAGAGAGGTAGGCCTCCTTTACTTAAATATTAGAAAGACTTCTTATGCTCTGCGGATAGTCTATTGTACCAGGGACTGGGGGTTATTCATGCATTTCTTGCTCATGTTCGCAATTCATATAAATTGTACTAAGCTAATTACTTGAAGTTGCACTTGTTTGTGCACTTGAGAGTTTGTGTGTTGCCTGATATATTGTGGGCTTAATGGATTTTACTATCATTCCATTTGGCTTGCTATTTGACTCTGACCAGGTGTTCGACATGCATTAGTGTGGTGAACATTGTGTTAAATGAGACATTTAAGGGTTTTTGGTCTGGACGGTTGTGGCGAGTTTCCTCCTAATCGTGGCTGAACGAGATAAATGATGATGTTTCCGCTTCTTATCTTGCTTTTCCCATTTCTGCTGGATAAGCATATGTGTTCCCATTCTGGCTAGGCTAATGGAGGAGATGAATTTGATTGATGCTGGATACTAGTTATAGAAACTTATAATATGATGCAAAATACTATTGTAGTTTGCTTTCCTGTAATAACTGGAAAGATGTTTTGATTGGTAATAAATTATGGAATAATTCTAGATGACTTCCAATGTTAGTGATTATACGCCTTAAAGGATTTGAGGAGCTTGTATTGTATGAAAGTAACATGTGTTAAAACCAGAACTCACTCCAATGATACTGTTGATCTTTAGGTCAATCAAATAGCAAAAGATTATCGCCAGTAATAGAAAAAGATGTCATCCCTTGAGGTTTTATACGGCTGCATTTATGTAGCATTTGCATGAATTTAAATGGAGAATATGGTTTTCCATATTTGGAAGATAGTTGGATATTAGCTACTTGATGTATTGCTAATTGCCTCAAGAGAGAAAGAAGGATAACTAAGAGGCTTTTTCTGTGATTCTATTACCTCCTTGAGGACATTTTGCATATGGGACCTAGAATTTTTTAATACTATCTTTAGATGTCTTTGCTGACAAATTACTGTGCGTACTCATGAGTTTCATGACTTCCAATGTTATAAGGAGTTTGTATGAAAAGTTCCACGTGCTAAAAGTAAAACTTAAAAGCTAAAGCTAAAACCAGAACTCACTCCAAATATACTGTTGATCTTTAGGTCAATCAAATGGGAAAAAATATTAAAGATATTACCCC